TTGTTGGCGCTGGTTTTTATTACGTTTATGTTCGTATGTTTGTTTGTATGTATATATATATGAATGGAATGAGCATAAGCGATTTCCGCAGCTATTTGTGTTGCTGTTGTATTTTTTGCCGAAATCTTGCTGGCGAACGCAATTTAACCAGTCGTCAGGCGAGGTTATTGACTTTTGGTCACTCGCATTGCGCGTAGAAATCGAATTTGGTGCGTAAACGCTTTTTCAGCTTTAGATTGTTTTTTTGTAAAATTCCATTCCGTACATATGTACACACAAACATACATACGCATAAAGGTTTTTTCTCAGCGGTTTTATGCGTTATGCCAAACTTGCTCCGAAAGTTCCACATGCTCACGCGTGAACGCTTAAAATCTCGTCGCTAGTTTACCATAAGTTCATACATACTTGTACATGCCTGCAATACCGTTGTGTGGTGCATTGGCAGCGGGCGGGTAGCGGGAGTTGTATTGGGTGAAACTTTTTCGGTACATTGGAGCGACATTTTCAGCTATACAAATAAGTAGTATGAGCAGCAAACAGTTTGCATGCGAACATACACAGTAGGAAAAAGCTTGCTTTAGTAAAATCTCAATAAAGTGGGAATGAGAATGATTTTAGTATAACATCTTTAGTCTAGTTTTTAGTTAAAGTACGATTGGTCTTTAGAATATCGAAATAAATATAAGCCTCGTCGATTAACTCTTCATTGTTGCTGAGTGATTTCCAGCGAGTATCCGGCTAACGTCTGGCGATAGAAACAAGTCGCTGCTAGTCAGATCAGGAGAATCTAGTGGATGAAAAGTAATTCGAAGTCCATTTCATGCAATTTTTTAAACGTTTTCGATGATTTGCGCAGCATTTTCGGTTGATTATAAGCCAAGTTTCCTACAGAGTTTTCTCATACCCAAATATTATTGAAGAATCTCTCCGACATATAGCTTTGATATCTTTCAGCAATCTCGATCAATTTAAGCCAAAATAATTTAGTAGAAATTTGAATGTTCCATTCGTAACAACCCCATTCGAACATTGCACGGGTTCATTGTTTTCGGTATTCATATCGAATGTATATGGTAGAGTTTAAAAAAAACATTATTAAACAAATAAAATGAGAGAAATTGTTAATGCCTTCATACAAAATTTGAAGAATATATGTATTGTCACCAAATATCTGTAATATTTAATCCTCTGCCATGAAGCATAAGGGGGTAGTGAGATCCAGCCATATACAAAAACCAGGCAATACTTAAGAAACTTTCAAAACCGTAAATATATTTAATAACCAAAGAAACAGAGAAAGCTTCGAGTTCGAGGGACCTGTAACTACTTTGAAAAAAAAAATTGTCTATCAAAAATGCGCAGCTGTCAAAAATGTACAGAAAATAGTGTCAGCTGATTGATTTTATCTTCGGTAGCTCTCTCGTGTAATTTGCTCTTGCTCTCAATTTTACTCTACATACATATTTATTCTATCCTTTCTCCGTGTCTTATAACTGTAAAAATCATTAAGCGTACTTCTGCTCGGTTTACTTAATTAAATATTAATAAAATTTATTTGAAGCGTTAACTAAAAATTTGAGGTTAAGGTATTGAAACAACGTTACTTGGGTCTTTCACCAGGCAACAATTACACTAGCCAGAGCTTGGTTTGAGTTTCCAACAAATGTTATTTCCTACAGAGTATTTTAAAGTAGTAAACTCAAACAACTTTTAGTGATTGAAATGTAAACAAGCTAGAGCGCAGATTGGTCCACACAAAGAGGAAGAAGGCAATTTATTACATTCCTAATATCCATTCATTTTAATAATATCTTTTTAATGCATTTCATTATCATACATACATACATACATAAATACATATGTACATGCTTAAGTAAACAAAAAGCGACTCGACTTCCACTTCTAGAAAGCGTCTGTGAAAGAAGTTCAAAGAACTGCATTGTCTTCGGGCGCGGGCACGTTTGGCCAGAAGTAAACAATCGAAAGTGGGTTACAATTAAAGTAAAGTTTTCACTTTCTCGTCGCAAGAAAAATCTGGAATCATCAATTAAAGCTGCTAGCGCTTCGCGGCAGATTGTAGCAATGCTTGCAACAACAACTACACTTATTGTTGGCTGAGAACAGTTAAGCTGATGCAACACCCAGCGGCCGGTGAATGACTTTGGAACTTTCCAGCGTCAATAAAAGTGGGTTAAAATATTTTCGACTTACATGCCTGCTAGCCGTTCATTTTTTTGTATAAACAAATTTGATTTTCAAGAAATACATACAACAGTATTATATATGTGCATATGCAGGCCTTGCGCTTACTGCGCTTTTGGTGAAAGTTTTAATTTCCATTTTTGTCTATTTTCGACACAGAAGTGTACAGAATATCTATATATCGAAAATATTGAAATTTTTTGAATGTTTATAGTCTTGTTTATTCATTCATGAGCAATATTTTTTATTGTGTATATACGGATATACAGCTGCGGTCACCTAATTAGCAACGCTGCTGTTTGAATCATATTACCATTCAATTTCGAAAAGTTTACCAAAATAATTTAAACTTTTGTAGGATAATTAACCGACATTTCACTGTTTTCTAAATAATATGTAGTTTGTTAATTTATTTTTATTCTGCATTAGGTTTTTCACTATTTGGAAAGCAACCAAAACCTCTCGGTCACATGATTAACAACGTTTGATACATTGTTTTTTTTATTATATTGAAAAGCTAATATTTTCGTTTCAGGTCTGGCCTGCATAAAGACCAGTCTAATAAAGAAATCATATTTTCATCCAACTATCGTTTAGTTCAGTGTGCGGTATGTTTGGGGTAGTTATGTTGCTGATACAGCCAAGTAATAGGCATATTATTTTCGGAATATGGAAGCATTACATATTTCAGTATAGAAATATACTGGTGCTGATTCATATAACCCTCAATTTTTGTTATATGGTAGGCTCAACAACCCTCCCTGACATAGCACCCCATATCATTATATTACCGCCGCCGTGCTTCAGCGTGGGACATCACGGACGCCGAATGTAAGCTTTCCATCTAGTGATAGTCTATTCATTTTCGCTCGGAGTGCAATGACGATATATCTTGGCGAGTTCAAGTCGTCTTTTACGATTTCGCTCTGACAACAGTGGCTTCTTCCGAGAAATCCTCCTAAAGAGTCCTTTTTCTTACTTTCAGTATCGACCGATACTGCACTAACATTTTCCACAGAAATATGCAGGCGAATTTCATTTGCTGTTTTTTGAGGGTATTTTTTTGATTCGCTTATGATTCGTTCGTCATCTTTAGCGGTGATTATATGATGCCTTTTCTTGCGTGGCACTTTTGCTGTGGTTTTGTGGGTTTTAAAATACTGAACAGCGTTGAAAACCATTCTTATGAAGATCTTTAGCGACCTGAAAATATGACTTCCCATCGTTGCGCATATTAATAATAATGGCTCTTGTACTTTCGTCACAGGATTTGCTTCTGCCTATTTTACACCAAGCTAAATATGCGCTATACTTTACAAATTTATTGTAATATGCATAAATTGAAGACACTTCCTAAATTATTTGTAATGTGGCCAAAAAAGTATTAAAACACAACAACGCAAGGAAACCATTTTTAAATTTAAATCAAGTATTTTTAAATTAAAAGCAAGCAACACGTTTAACCAGATTAAAGAAATATTAGTTTTAGGACACAATGATTTCAAGTCAACGTTATCCAATTTTTTCCGGACAAATCCGTGATTTTCAATGAAAGCGATTAATTTACCTAGATCCTCTCTTAGATTTACTCCACTCCATTTATTAAGTGGAATTCTATTTTAAAAGGATTATGATTTAAAAATGTTTAAATTATGGAAGAATATCAGCATGTTCTCATGCTATTTGCGGTTCAAACTTAATAATATCCAACTTTAATTTGTCGATCCTTGGAGTTTGTCGAATCGAATAAGCAACTGGCAGAAATACATCGACAAAAAAAAACATTTACCACTTATTCCATATAAGCACGCCAACGTTTACTTCAAATTTCCATACATGTGTTATAATCCTCGGATTGGATAGCTCTCTGCGCCTTCAGCGAATTTTGATTTATTTTGGTTTCGGCTCATTTTTGGAGCTCCATTCGCTAGATTGTTGAACAGCTTCGACGTAATATTCATAAACCCACATCTCGTCGCTAGTAGTGATGCGTTTAATGTATTAAGATTGCTCAGTAACGGTAAAAGATTTCGGTATTTTGGTACGAGTCTAGCATTGACACGCTTTATACCCAAAACATTAACCAAAAACGGTTCTGTCGATCCGTAAAAGCTGATGAGCGTCTCTGTTATCTTTTTGATGCCAACACAATAAATTTTTAAGCACTGTTGCTTACATAACTTTTTCCGATATTACAGCAGTTAACAGGGTTGGATGGACAACTGTGTTCGTGATAAAACAGACTTACCAAAACACTTTTGCTACATTTTTCATGATTCCGGAGCCGTGATTTTTTTGGAAACACAAAATGTCAAGCAAACTCATTGCTTAATTTTTTGTTTCATGGTAAAAATGGGCAGCAAGCATTTTGCGTCGTCAATAGAGAGCTGGCAAGCCTACACTAATTGACGTATGAAGATCAAACTTCACGCTTTCATGTTTGCGAAGAAATATTCTACTAATCTAGGAACAATTTTTTTATCTATTCGACTTGCACGTGCAGTTTAAATGAGCGAGTGCGACATCTATGTATAATAACCCTTTTATGAGACCGTGAGACCGTTTGAATTCACTACATAACTTTGTTGTTGCTTTACATGTGGATCGTTTGACTAGAGAAGAGAGCTCAAACATAGCGAACAGATAAATGGTGATACAAAGGAGAAAAATTGCCATAATATTGTATCTTAAATTTGTTTTAAAACTTACCCATATAATTCATATTCATCAGAGTTTTCAGAATAAAATACTCGTCTACTACATTAATGTTGAAAATATTCATACAACTTTATTTTCTTAATCTAGCTAATTCGTTCTGTGTATTTGCGAAAATGAACATACTCTCCTCCGTGTGATGAAAAATTAGTCCTTATAAAGTAATTGCAACCTAAAACGGTGAGCAATAATTTATTTACAATATTTCATTACATAATACTTTCGACGGTGTCTCACCAGTAGAATGTTAGTACTGTCGAAACTAATAGTATAATAAGTTTTAAAGTCTGTCGAACCCGTATTTTAAACTATAAAGAGTTATACCTTATAGTTTTGGTATTCCAATAAAAAGCTGTGTTATACTCTATTCCTGTGACAGTAGCATTTACGTAACTGAAAGAAATAAAGTAATTAGCGGAATGTTTTCGGTCTCTGCTGGTAATTAAAGACAGGCAGATAGCATTCAAAAGTATAACTTCTATCATTTCCTTTTTACTCAACCATGCCAAAAATACTGGATCAAATATCTTAGCCAACCTCTTTTTCCTATACTAAATTTTCATACCGTACACATAAGCGATATTGAGTCATCGTGTTTTATTATATGATCATAATTTGTTTTGATGTCCAAAAATTAAGCTTCAAATCTTCCTTAGATCTGTAAATTTTTGGCTTTCGGTAAGACAGTTCAAACCCTCGAGGTATATATATATATTTTGCGACTATACACTGTCGTTTAGACCAAACCACTTGACTACTTACCAATGTTGACATCAACGACTTTTAATATTTCGGCTGAGCTTCTCCCATATATGTGATATTTTTTAGCCGCGTGAGAACTTCATTTCTCTGTTATATTCTCAGTCCAAAAAAGCATAGAAGAAGATATGACAATCGAACCTGTAAATCTCCAAATTAATGATGATTCCAGAAAAAATTTCTACAATGCCTATTCTATTTGTTTTTTGCCTCTCCAACTAAACCTATCCATTAGCCTCGTAACACGAGCAATCGCTTACATATGAGAAACACTTTCATGACTAACGAGAACATATAAAAAAAGTGCATTTTTTTATTACACTTACTTAATTAATTGCATTTATGTATAAAAAATTAAACCTATTTATATATACGTACACCCAAACAGATGTGCACAAATTTCGCTTGGCAACAAGCTGACAAGTAACTGCTGACAGGCGTTCATACTCATAATTTCACAAATTGATATGCAACGCATGTTTTTCGCTTGCGAACAATCAAATGCATTCACTTGCACTTATTATTGCACACATTACAGTACATGCCGCGCGCGACCGCTTGTCGCCACCCAATGCTTGAGAAATCAGATGAATTTGCAATTCAATTATTGCCTTGCATATTGCACTGCGCGCCTTCGTACAAGCGTTTATTAAACGCATTTACGCTAGCGGCTAATGTGTGACATTTCACATTAGCGAACGAATTGCGGATTGCCTTGCCTCCCCGACTACAGTTCCGGACTATTACCTTAGCGATTATTCCGCATACGTCAATTAGCGGAACAAGGCGGGCGGTCTCAGCGGCTTGCACTGAGCGCGCTGCTTCCGGCTATTAAACCGACTGAAATGTATTGGCCTGCAATAATAAAATATGCACGGCAAGCAAGCAATAACAAAATTAAAAAGTGCGATAATCTAACGCGCTGTATAAAAACACTATCTTCTCTCCATATCTTTTATTTTGTTCGGCAGCGTACGCGCCAAACTACAGCCGAATGCAATGATTTATGTGCGAGAACGCTTACAAAGCTTCGGCGCTACAACCTTGATGCGATACAACAACAAACGCACATGAATAACGCAAATAATAATGCAATTGCATTCGAAAGTACGCTTGAGCGGTGCGTGCCTGTAGTGCGTTGTAGCTGATTAGAAGATCGCCCTGAACTTCACACTGTATTAATAAATATGCGCAACGCGCACGAAAACAATAACTACAAGTTGCATATATGTACACATGGAAAGAGCACATTTGCCTATGTAAGCGTGCGTGTGAGCGCTACAAACTAATAGCTACGTACGCGCACTTGTCATTCCGCGAGTGTATGTAATACTAATAATTGTGAGCGCGCCGCGCCGCAGCTATTTTTAGAAGTTGTCGCGCAAACTTCCTGCACTGCGCGCAAGCTGATGCTGAGAACACGAGAGTGGAAGCGTGCTTACAGCTGTTCGCCAACTTTAACGACGCACAGTTCTAAGCGGTTAAGAGTTATGCGAAAAGCTTCGATGCTGAAGTAGTGCTGCTCTTTGTAGGAAAAAGCTTACGCCAAGCTGAGATGAGCGCATAAATGCTATAGTGCTAAGAGCGGCAAAAGCGCGTTCTAAACATGCAACTCTGCGACTGCATGTACAGCTGTGAGACCTGATGTGCAGAGCGCCGCAACTGCTGAGTATCTTTAAACATAAATTATTAGCAATTTGCTGCTGTTGTTGTTGCGCGCCACCATGACATTGCACTTGAGGCAAAATTGTGCCGCATTCTCGCACACATTTTGCACCAATCGCCAGTCATATTGGCCATGACTGCTTGCCGCGCGACCCATGCAGCGCTGCCTTGCCACTGACTGACTCTACCCACTTGGCTAGAAGGCTAACTAGCTAGCTAGCTGGTTTGATGCTAGACTGACAGTCAGCCTGTTGGCAAGCAACATGCTGCAACGCGATTGGCGGCCGTTGGCTCTTAGCTGTTGGTTGTTGGTTGTAAGGCATTTTTCTCATTGCGCCACGCCGCGCCGCTCTGCGTTTTGGTTGCGAAAATATTTTATTTTATTTCATTTATTATTTTTATTTTTTTTCGTTTGTTACTCTGCATGCATTTGTTGTTGTTGTTAGTTGAGTTTTTGTTTTGAATTTTGCACACTGTTCTAGCGTTAGGCGCTGGCATTCCGCTGACATATCGACGCCGCGGCTGGTTGTGTGTTCGATCGGCAGCTCGGTCGCGCGGCCTCTTGGCCTGGCCTGGATGAATTTGGTTTTTGTTGCATTGCATTTTGTTGCTGCGAAATGCTATTTATGCGCATTTATGCTTCGTGTACTTTGGTATATATATACGTAGATGTGTATGGTGTGTGTGGGTAAGTTGATGTTTTTTGTTGTAATCTTGTGTTATTATTGACCTAATCACTTGTGGAGCACAAACGAGCATTGAACTTTTACTTCCGCATACATTGCATACTTTTGTTTTGTTCTTTTCGTTTTCGATTTTGATTTGTGCGCTTAACACACACACATGTACTCCTACGTGGCATGTATGTGTGTATACGAGTATGTCGTTGTCGTTTGTCTCAGGTGCATATGAATTTGTCATTACACTTGATGCATCTGTCGATTCGCATGCGTTCCACTTTGTGCACAGATTACTGCACGTTTATGTGTGAGTGCAGTTGCGCTTGTTTATATGCATGTATGAGTTGCGTGTTGATGTTTGTCATTATTAGCTTAAATAATGTTATGCTGTTGAAATCGCACATAATTAAAAATATCATTTATATTTTATTAACTACGAATTATGATTTTTTGTCACGATATAAGTATTAGTGGTGAGAAACGCAGTATTTAAATGGAACACCTCTAAGCAATTGATATGTATTTATATACCTTTTCGCACACATATATCCTCTGATCCCATTTGACCCGAACTAACAAAACAGCACATCACGTATTTCAATGCAAATATTTATTATCGCCTTCAAAATAGGCGCCTGAGCCAATAAGCATGCCAATGCTTAATCCAATTTTCCATACACTTTTAATAAGCCTCAGCTGGGTTGACCTTCAGTGACTTCAGCGAATTTTGTTGGTTTTTATCGGTTACGGGCCATCTATGAATCGGTTTTCGCTAAATTGCTAAATAGTTTTGAAGTCATATTTATAAAGCTATGTCTCCCTACCAGTAATGATGCCACTGATGAATATTGGGTCCTTAGCTACGATGTCAAGCATCTCTTTGCCGACCTCTAATAGACGTCGTTTTTACAAAAGATTCATGTCTTTTGGTACGAGTCTAGCATTGACACGCTTCATAACCAAAATATGTTGACTCGACCCAGAAGCGTTGTTGAGATCCCCTGATATCTCTCTGATGCCAACAAGTACTGTTTCTTTAATTTTTCCATGTTATCCTCTTTAACAGAGATGGATGGACGATTCGCATGAGGCAAGTTTTCGATGACTTCATGACCTTCCCTTATTGCTTTGTACCTCTCAATTCATTATGTTCATGACCAAAACACTACTGAAACATTTTCAATGATTCTGTAGCCGTGATTCCATTGGAAAGACAACATTTCAAGCAAATCCGTATGAAGATCAAACTTCACGCGAACATAAAAATGGCTGTACCAATCTAGGAAAAAAATTGCATCGGTACGTTATGCGCGCGCAGTTTATATTTAACAATCGGGATCAAATTCGATCAGATTTTGCGCTCATAGCATTTTGAAGTCAGTCATTTGAGAATGTGTTATGTTTTAGTTTTAAGATACTACAAACTTTCTGATGCCAATAATAATATTTGTTCGAACCAAAGACTTTTCAAAATAGTGGACTCAACATTCGATGACAGTTCGCTTTAAGCCAACATGTTTGTTTAAAAAGTGAATCTCAATATATTAAGAATTATATTGCAAATATTCTAAGTTGCATACCAAATATACTAATTCTCGGACGTTAAGATTCAAATTCTATATTGAAACAGCGTTATCGGTCATTGCACTGTGTTCGCCAGATTTGACTCTTTGTGACTTTTTTATATTTTCGAAATTGAAAAATCCGTTTCGGGGAATGCACCATGAGCTCTTTGACCCAATATACGCGCACCCAGCCATAAAAGAGCCCGACAAATTTTTGGCATGAACATAAAGACGGATTGTACCAATCCAAATAAACATTTGGGCCAGTTCGAGTCAAGTTTGATACTGAGTGTACGAGTATATTAGCTATCTCATTCGCTTGATGTGATCTTATAGGAGATTGCTTGAATTAAAACCGCCCGCGAGCGAACCAGGAAATCAAATAAGGAATGATTATATTGGAGAAGAACAACAAGAGTTGCTTTATATTTTTCTCTGTGCACATTTTTATAATTTTCAGAATTTTTGCACTACTTTTCTTGTTGTTGTTTGCTTTACTATAAAAATTCCAATGCGGCTATGACCATTTCACATCATCTCGGCCAACAAACTCGAACGATACACAACTATTTATACACACACACATCTATATACATGCATCATTCCGCCAGCATTTTCCAGCGTTGCCTCATTTTCATTGATGAACCTCACCGCAGGCTATTTGACCAGGCAAATGGTTGGACAAGGCCTCTAAGGTGGCTGATGGGCCGCCCAGCCAGGCAGGTGGTGGGTAGGCCCAACTTAGCTGCCACGACACACCTCTCGGTGGAATGCCCTATGATGTGCGCTGCCACCAAAGCAACCCACCGCCGCCCCACCATTCAAATGTCCAAAAGTCAGCGCAAGCATGCGCTGCTTGCAGCTTAAATGCAGCTTCGCATATTCGTACTGGTTTGTTTGAATGTGCGTGTGTGTGTCTGTGTGCATGCCGCCCTTCATTCAGTCGACTCACACATACATACATATTTATATAGTATATATTTTTAATTTCATATTATTGTTTTCCTCCTTGACAAACACTGTTGCACCAGTCTGCCTCTACATGTGTCTGTGTCTGTGTCTGTTTTGTGCGCCTGTGGCAAGGTGAAGTCATAGGCATGGAAAATGCTGCACGTAATTTAATGCGACAATTTCCACCTCGTACTGCTTGAATGCTGCTTCTTCCGCATGTTGTTGCCCTTGGTTGACTGTATACTCTTGGCAATGTTGTTGGCATTGTTATTGTTGTTGTTGCCGTACAACAATTTTAAACGCTTTGGCTGGCTTAGTTGCCATTTCTCGGGCTTTTGTTTCTCATTTGTTGCCTTTCATTTCATTTTTCACAATTCATCTCAACTCATATGTTGCTGCAAGCACACACGCACACACACATACACACATCTGTTGTGAGCGTTTGGCACACTCGTAGGCTAGGGTATCATCTGCCTGGCCGAGCTGTGCGCCCATATTAATAAAAGCGCATGTACAGCA